AGTGGATTTCTCTGCTGCAGCTCTTAGACATGCATTTGATTATGTTACTAGCCTGGCGTGGCTACACGTTTGACAGATCAATTAGATGCCTGATCTGGATTTTATAATAACAATAAATGTTTAAACTTTTGTCAACATAGACAAATCAGTAAATTCAATTGAAACCATCAGCACCAAAGTATCAAATGATCAAATGAATTATTTGTAATTGATATGTTATTCTAATATTGGTAACACTTCACATTAAGGTACTAGTCAACTAGTTGCTTATTAAAGTTCATATTAGTAGCACATTGGCTCTTTATTAGTCATTACAAAGCACTATTTAATGTCTTATTCTGCATGACCATATTCTACAACTACAAGGCCATAAAGGGTTTTCCCTCAATTAACTCCTTAATACTTCTTATTGGCAGTAGGTAAAGAAGCTGTACATGAATAACGATATTATAACAACAACACAATATATATTACAACAAACTATATTCAGTGTTAGCTAAAAACAAGTATCTCTATCAGTTATATTGGGTATGGATGTCGGCATGTTGTACAGATTGCGTTTACAGCTACCTAAGATCTGAACACAATGAGGGTTCCCATTCTTTTTGAGAGATGGTTTTCAAGGAGTTCTTCTCTTTTCCTGACAATACAGGACAGAACTTGCTGACAATGGTGTTCAGCGTTTATGGGACACTCTTAGCTCGCTTCCGTGGCATGCTTGGCCTCAGCAGAGCGTAAATAACCGTTTAAATCAAATATTTTATTTTACAGATTTTTTTTTTTCCATGCCTTCAAAACTAGTCTCTAAATTTCCACATTTTCCAGCCTTTCCCAATGCGTGGGAACCCTGACAATGCAAGCAAGACAACCTCCAGATATAGTGAGACAGATCTAATCACAGTGCATTTACATGTTGCATTAACATGCATTTTTCCTTATCCGGTTAATGTCTCCTAGATTCAGGTCACATTTTAATACCAGGTGTAAATATGGTGTTAGATTCAACTGGAGAGCCAAATGGTAGATGCCTGACTGAACTGACTATTGGCAGTTCATAAACTGCAAAATATCTATGTAAATATATCCATCTATATGGCATTAGTGAATAGGTAACTACCTTATAATGTAGCCCACTAAGTGGTCGGTGTGAGGCAGTACAAAGAGACTCTTCCCAGACAGATCGCAGGCGTTACAAAGAGTTGCTGCTCTCTCTGACGCTACCAGGTCCTCTCCTGTACAAACAAGAAAATGAGTGTTGTTTAGGCTGGAAAAAGAAACAGGAAACTGACAGAGCAGATTGTTACGGCCGTGTTAAACAGTAGATGTAAAGTCGCTGCTTAATGTCTAAAGCTAGTTTTGCCTTAGGCCACTGGTTGACAGTTCTACATTCACCAGAAGTTTTACAGGATTTTTGATCATTAAAAAACTGCTCAAATGGTTTTTTAGGTTTTTCCAGTACAGGACCCTGGTTTATAAAATGTACAATGTTGTACTTTTGTCAGTCAGAAAGAAAGACTGTCTGGGATATACTGTAGATACACAGTGGAACTTAGATGGATGGAATATGACACATGTGCATAATAAGCTAATATGATTCAGTAGAGATCTTTACCTGGAGGTAGAGGAGTTTTCTTCTGGATTAAAACCACAGCCACCTTGGTGTTCCTCCCCTGCAGACTGGTCCTACAGGCAAACAAACACAACACAGATGATTGCAGGTGAAATTTACTGCCAGTCATAGAGAGCTCATTTATAGTGTCAGCTATATACAGCCCAGTCTGCTCCCTGTTATTTTCTTGTATATTTCAGGAAAAAGTAAGAAACAATTTTTACAATGACAGTGTTCTCACAGAGCTACATGACCTAGCCTTTATTAAAGTTATAATTTTTTAAGTGTAATACTGAGATTCCATGTGTTGCATCTGATGACAAAAACCAGCAAGGAGAAACTGAAACCTGATCGTTTCCTGTGTGTGTAGAACTCGCCCACATAAATACAACACATGAAAACAGTTTAGTAAAATGTACCAATCAAGCCTGATAAAGCAGAATCTGAAGCATCTACCTGCTCTGTTAGTCACCCAATAAAACCTTTTCTGAAGGCAAATGAAACGTGTACCTACCTAACAATCTCCACTTTAGTTGCACATTCTGACTGTTTCTCTTTCCACTGTGGGTCGTCCCAGTCCAGTTCGTAGAAGAGAACAACCAGAGCTGGTACCAGGTTCAGATGTTTATTCATCCAACCTGTTTTCAGGATGCCTTTAGGGATGTACCACTCATAGGACGTCCGCTAGACAGGCAGGAAGAGAATGCAAAGTGAGCAAATGCAAACTGAAACTGTGTACCAATTCCATGCCATAGGTTGGGTTTGTTAGGATATTATATTGTCTCTGTTTGTGGATGGACTTCTAGATCGCTCTGTCCCCGCCTCACCTTGGTGCGACATTTGGGGTACTCGTGGTCCCCTGGCAGGACTTTAAAAGAGATAGGAACTCTGTCAGCTCGACGGTTGGCGCAGAAGGCATCCCAAATGGCCCGGTGCACAGCGTTGTACACCACATCCAGACCAGTCAGAGCCACAAAGGCCATGGGCCGACAGCACAGCTCTGGAGGAAGCTCCCACTGGGAACCTGCCATCACGATGCTTTAACAGTGGACACACCTACACAGGACAGAGCAACATCACAACAACATAAATACATCTTTAAAGAAAAATATTGAGTACAAAACACCCTAGGTTACTTAAAATGAGCAATAATGCTTTGAGATTGTTCTCTCAGTATTCTGTTGTGCTGCTGTTTCTACATTAGGGGAGGAACTGAACAAGGCGTTTATACATTTAAATGTACTAAAATGCATTTCTTCACATAATATTCATTTCGTGCAGGAAATCAGCTGGCTATCTTTAGAGGATTACAACACAACATCCTCTTGTAGTCACCACGCATGAACAGAGCCTTTGTGGATAACAGCTTGCAGGTCACAAGACGTGCAGGTTAGCACTAGCTGCTAACAGTGACAGGTCAGTTGTTTACATCCTACAGACCGGAGCTCGACTGTTTACATCCCGCCGGGGTTTACACAGTTGTTGACAATGCGACCCAACTCAGTCATATAAAACCTACTGTAAACTCAAAAACGGGTGACACATTAGATCTTTTTTTTTAGCGTTAAATACGTGAATGCAGAAATCGTTAAGACGAAAGCGGAAGTGAGATAGCCTGACTCGGCTAACGCCGCTCGCACAGCTGTTAGCATCCTCAATAACCCGTAATAAACAGATGTGAACTCACAGATTAATTAAACAACAACATACCTTAGTTGCATCACTTCAACTGAACTGGTAAAGGTGATAAATGCAGCTAGCTTGGTTGAGTTTTCCAGCTAGCTGCACTTCATAGGCTGTCAGTGTGGATGTCTATCAAGGTTAACAGTTAGCTAAGCTAGTGGGCGAGGTTGCAAAATGCTCACTAAACGCCAGTGTGTTTTTACTTTTCGGCTGCCTGGCTTCGTTTTAGCCCAGTCCCAGCGCTGGTCACCATCCGGCAGCCATTCGCCGTTGTGTCAAATTCGACAGAAGCAAAATATAATAGCTAATTTAGCAGGTGTTGCTGAAGCAACAGCTAACTGGCTACTTAGCTTCCTGGGGCAGAAGTTGAGTAACACTTCCGGTTCGACTTTTCAAAATGAAAGTCTACGTCACAAACTACATTATTTGCGATTAAAAAATATTTTTAACAAGCAAAGAAAATGATGATAAATGTATCTTAATAATAATGGTAACGATAATGATAATAATAACAATACTAATAACTGTATGCCGCATTCTTAAAGAATACAAAGCAATCTTTTATCTGAGTATGTCAACATGATGTACTGCAGTAAACAAACCCACCTACATGTCTGTGAGCTTTTATTCAGCCTTTGATCTGTTGTGAAGCTGGAAGTAAGGAAATATTATAGGCAATGATAAGGTGAAGAAAAATCAACTGATATGATACTTTTATATGATAACGGTATAATAATGGTATAGGCCAATATTGCATTTGCCAAAATAAAGACTGTAGTAAGACATGTAACTTTAGCTGACATTAGTAACACCTCAGAGGTAAAGTACACAACATGTTCTGTTGATTCCTGTGTGAGCAGAACACATCACATTATTACTAAATATTGACAACATGGGATCTCTGCAGTCCTGCAGCTTAGAAACAGTGTCTCAGCAGACAGTAAGATGAGCTCTGGAGCAATGAGATTTGTAGCACTAGACAGGGTTATACACAGAGCTTTTAATGAGGTGCAGCAGCAGCAGCAGCAACATCTCAGTAGGCCCAAGTGCTGCAGGAGTGTTGTGCAGCCTGAAGGGGATGGGAAATGGAAGGATTAGACAACAAAAGTATGGATCAGGATTTGTCTCATAAAGAAAAGTTGATTGGCAGGTGACAAATGTTCTAAAAAAATTCCAAACATGATTGTAATCATAAAGAGAGTGAGTCGGGATGTAAACTTGATGATTCATTAAGAAAAAAAAAAACTCAAATTTAATTATAGTCATTATAGTCAAAGAGTGACAGGTGGCCAAAGAATATCAACTTTATATCAAATCTGTAGACGTAAATGGACCAAATGAGTAAATGCAGGGATTCCTGAAAATGCATGTCCAAAAGGATCATTTAAGGACACGGACAGAGATATCAGAAACCAGAACTGGTTAGCCACACAGTGGCGACAGATTCAAGCTAAAGCTTTTCAGCAGATCCTCTGATAGTGTTGTTATCTCTTTGTGATGATTTGTTGGCTCAGATGGCTTCAGAACACTCTGTGTCTCCAGTGTACCTATGAAATAAATGTGTATTCAGTCATTCAGCCAAATAAAAATATACTAATCATCATTGATATCAACATACAAACCTATAGGGGATCATTTTGGAGTAAGGATATCTTAAATACTTTGTTTAATTGTTTAATTGTTTTTCTCACTTCCTATCACTTTATAGGGAAGGGTTCAGTGAAGATCTGAAAATCAATTTAGCTCATTTATAGAAGTCTTATAACCTTAATAGCCTACCATATGAATCATAACTTATTTTAATAATACAACATAATGTGTGCTGGATACATGCTTGATTGGGAGGAGGGTAACACACCTATAAATAAAACAGACAGGCACAGCATATTTGAGTCAATGTGAAGCTGCATGGAGCTCAGCTAACTCTCTGGATAAACAAAGGTTAAATTCAAACTTGCAGCAGTCAGGGGTAGCCTATGGCGCAGACAGACAGGCAGATGCCTCCCAGCTTCCTGTTATCCTGCCCTCCTCAGCAGACAGACGCATCCTCCTACTCCGGCCGGCCAGAGGACACGGAGGAGCAGGCTGCAGCCATGGGACAGCAGCATCTCACCGGCAGGAACACTGGAGAGGACCGGGCTGTGCTGCCTGACTGAAGGTGAGTATCCCGGCTAGAATGTCTCTGGTTTGCGGTGCCTTTGGGGACCAGCAGTCTTATTGACTCATCAAGTATTTAACCTTCAGGATGCAGATAAGGTCTCACTGTGTGCTTAGAAACGGGACCGCTTTCCTTCGGGTGATCAGAGATGAAGATGACGATGTGCTTTGGGTGTTATTGGCTGGGTGGGGTTAGGTAGGATGGTGCGGTGAATCAGCCTTACTGTAGGTGATGATTGTTTAGTAAAGACCCATATACGCCGTCTTGTATCCTGCATGAAAAATGACACGCCAAACTCCATTGAAAACTCTCGCACTTGAACCTTTTCGGACGTCTCTGAAGGTGAACTTACAGAATAATACCCAACCAAAGATATTTTAGGAATGTATCCAGTCTACTGCTAAATTCGGCGCCATTTGATACTCTAATACTTACTTAAGTGAGTGTTGTAAACTTTAGAGATGTTTCGCATGTCATCTTAAAACCCTCCACCAAAACAAACCGCACCTCGCCTGGCCAGTTGCAAGCAGCGCGCTAGAAGGTAAGATAGGCTGTAGCTATTTAATTAGGAAATGGTAATTAATGGATTTTGTGTGAGCCGAATTTTAAAAGCAGAGCTAGGCTATATAACTGAATAAGACTATTTAGATGCTTTTAAAGAGCTTTGTAGCTGCGGGCAAGAACAGCCGAGGCAGGTTGAAAAATGTTCGAATTACGTTTGGTGTGAGTGAGTCGCTGGACCATTTATTGGAGGACAATCCCTATAGGCACTACTATAACTCCTTCTTAAAGAAGCAGAGTTGAGGCTGGCTGAGGAGTGTCCAGGTGTAGACAGTCAAGTAAGACCTCTGGATAACGAGGGTCTTAAGGGATGGCTCCTTTATTTCCTCTGTTCTGGAATGTAGAGTTCCCCAGCCTTCCCGCAGGAAGTTAGTCAAATATTTATCAGATGGCACTCATGTTATTGCTGATGTATTGCTTGCATTAAGGCTGAATTCTGCTTCATTTTGCTGTAACTATTTCTGTCAAAAGTGATCATCTGTCTAAATTTTATAATGCTTATGAAAGTGTTGTTTTACATTTTGTTTATGTAACCCTTTCACACCAAACCCCCCATCTAAAAAGACAGTACATTATATAATATTGCCCTTATTAACATAATATAGCCTACTGTAAGATATATATATATGAAGCATAATGTACGGAGAAGAAAAGAAAACATGCATGGGCATACACATTTTTCATTAAATGATATGTCATACACAATTAGGGCTTAAGATCCATCTGTAGGACTACATTCATCTGCTGAAAGTGGAAAGTTTCTCTGTGCTCATTGAAAATCTGATTTTAAGGGGCCGGGCCTACCAGCATGATTTGTGACATCACAAATAGTTAGGAAGTCAGTCCTGGTCCAGTATCAACTTGTACAGTGTGATGTAGAAACCTGAAGCCACCAGTGCACATCCACTGAGAATGGACTTTACAGTGAAGGAGGAGACATCTTATGTCCAGCAGCAAAACTTTAGATGAGGTAGAAGCAGTCCATCCTATAAGGATTTTAATGTGGAAATGAAACTGTTTGTATGTATGTCTGAATACATGTCTGGAGGGGATCTTCAAATGTCTTCAAGTCTGAGGAGGACAATGGTCCTAACCCTGTTCAGAGATTTTTTCCTGTTTGTGCAAGGGGATTTGTTTGGCCACTGAAACAGAAGACATACAGTATGATAGTAATCACAGATTTATTTTTGTTCATGCAGTAATACATTTATCTGGACAACTAGAAAGAAAACACAAATATGGAAAATTTTGTTTTAAGTTTTATCAAGATGCAGGATTTTTTTTACTTGGGACATATTTTCATGAGTCTTGGACTGTAGAAATCCACACAGACACAAGGAGGACAAGGTCGGACATTTAGACCAGTCATACAGTGCTTATTAAGGCAAAGAATACAAATTACAGTACATACTGTAGTCTGAGGTGGTTCACTCTTTTAAAGTGTGAAGGAGTCAGGAAAATATTTAAAGGGATAGTTGGATTTCCTGGAAAGGTTTCTATTCTTCCATCCCCAAGAGTTAAAAAAAACCTATGGATGCCATTTTTTATGTCTTTCATAATAGTAAAAGCATAGTAAAAATGGAAATAAAGTAAAGATGTATGGGTGATGTTAAAACTAATCTAAAAATACCAATAAGTGTTTTAAATTAACCATAAACCAGGGACGGTTGGCATCAGTTCATGCTCCAGATTGACAGATATTGCTGAAACAGAATCAAATGTTGGTTCAATATCTTGGTGTAGGTAGGAAGAACCTATATCTCACCTATACAGCAATGCACATAGATTTAAAGAAGCCTATTATTTACAACAGAGTTATCAGATTATGATTGTTTCTGTGGTGTTTGCAGCCTTACGATCAGCTTTTAACAAGGAAGTCAGGTACTGTGAACCATGTCTGAGCTGACACTAGTACTCTCAGTGAGGAGCGCCATTGAACTCAAAGGAGTCCATGAACTCAGTGGAGACACAAAATACTCTCCACTTAGATCACTGTTTTCCAATGTCAGGACACCTCAGAGGCCATTACCACTGTTTTGACATGGACGCTTGCCAAAGAAACAAAAGAAAGGCTGCGCTTAATGAACTCATCCATTCATCAGGCATTCAAGAAGATTTAATGAAAACTGTGTCTGCTAGTTGGTATGAACTGACGGAATACAACGAGCCAGCAGGCTTCAGGAACTCATGAAAAGATACCTGCTGACCTTTCAGTAAATCATTTACATCGATTCTTATTACCAGTCGAGGCACACTGGGCAGGTATGTGAGCATTTGGGCCAAGAGTGGCTACCCATGGTTTTATCATAGACTGTATAAACAAAAATGAACGTCAACCAAAGGTTTCTGAAGAGTCATTGTGAAGCTCATTGTGGTCGGATCCCGACAATCTGAGGCAGGCTGAATGAAGCCTGGTTACTGAAACCAGCCACCTGTGATGGCACCCACCTGTCACTCAAAGCGGGCACGCCCTGAAATGTGCATAACTTTAAGCCTTAATGTAGTTTAAACAGGTGAGTTATGTTAAAATTCACCCCCTGTGCACTTGTAATGAATGGGGAAAATGAGCTATAGAGACTAAAACAGTTCTTTGTATCAGGCTGTAAACATGTTTATTTCTGCTGTAAAGTTTACAGAAGTAAACCAATGTACTCATTAATTACAGTTGCATGCATAATTAATAAAATATTACATATATATATTTTTATATATTGTCCCAGCCCAACCTGAGCCCAACCTGACCCTGATGTATGGCAGCTGTTCTGGGCCCGAACCTGGGGCCAACCATGTTGAGTCCAATCAAGTTCGGACAGAGAATCAAAGCTCTAATACCAGTACACATTTACATTTTTGAACTGACTGAGTTTTGTGAGGTTTTTTTTTTTTTTTTGACACAGGAAGAACTTGAAGCCTGCATGCATGACACCTGCAAAGCAATCAGTGCTACTGCTGAATTGCATGACTACACATTACTATCAATAGCCATGGTACCATTCATAGTTTATAGCCTGCGACCTTTCTCTAGCACACAAAGGTGACGGACATATTTAAAGCAACATTCTCTCATCAACTTCTCTACCTTAAAATAACTGCTTCAAATTCATTTTGATGCTAAACTGAGTTGTAATAGGGTGAATGGTGCCTCTGTCATTCCCAACTTTTCAGTTTGACCATTCACAGTCGTTCCAGGGTTTTACTGCATCACTACAGTCAGTTGTGTTCATATAAGAAATACAGCCACCCCACCCTCTCTCCTCGCTCTCATGACGCATGCAAACTATTCTAGATGTTCTGTGACGTAATGACTGCACCCAAACATACCCACCCCTTCACAGACACACACACACACACACACACACACACACACACACACACACATCCCTCCTTCACTGTCTGTCTCTTGTACTTAAGTCTTTAGTAGTTTATATGTTAAGCAACACAATGCAGTCACTGAACACGCACACACATACGCATCACTGAGGCAGTTCTGTCGAGGTCATGATGATGCTGAGTCATCTCTCTGCTTCTCTCAGCTCTTTGTCTCTTTAAGCTGTGAATGTGGAGAGAGAGACTGCATGAGTGGGCATACGTCCACTGCCTTCCTCTCAGCATCAGTCCTATCTGTGTCTCCCAGCGTCTGCACATTTATTCCTTCACAACTATGGACTTATGTTTTAGTTGATTGTTGTGCAAAGCAGAACACATATAATAAAAAGGTCACAGGTTTATTGAGAATAGCTGGTTTGGGTCTATAGAAGACTTTTAGCCATGTTGTATTAGGTACTGATGAGCCATTGAAATCTGGTCCATGAAGTCCAGTTTGAGTAACAGATCCATGAGTTTACCAGACACCAACACACTGCACAGAGATTTATTTTCAATTCAATTCAATTCAATTTTATTTGTATAGCGCCAATTCGTAACAGAAGTTATCTCAGGACACTTTTCAAATAGAGCAGGTCTAGACCGAACTCCTTATAACATTATTTACAGAGACCCAACAATTCCCACCATGAGCAAGCACTTGGCGACGGGGGCAAGAGAGGCAGGAACCTAGGACAGACCCCTCGGCTCTAGGTGGGTTGTCGTCTGCCTCGACCAGTTGGGGTGAGAGAGAGAGAGAGAGAGAGAGACACAGAGAGAACAGAGGTAACAACATAAGGAGAGACAGAGACAAAGTTGCACAGCAACAACAGTAGCAACAACTACACTAGTATTAGTGACTGATGATGATGAACATAAAGAACATGATGACGGGACAATGAGCAGTGATTATAGTAATAATAGTATCTGTAGTAACAATAATAGTAATAATAATAATAATAATAATAACAATAATATCAGTGATATTAGCAATGGGAGTCAATGGGAGTCAAGCAGGACCATGGCAGGAAGCTCCACCAGGATCCATGAGAACCTGCGAGACAAGAAAGCACAAG